ACCATAGCTTTTTAAATAAAAAAAAAGTAATTTATTGTATTTTTTTTAAATGATTCTTCAAAAATTATTAAGCTCTTGAAATTACGTTCTTAAAAAAAAGCACGTATATTTTAATGTAATTTTGGGCTTTATTAAAGGAAATATTTCATCACAAGTAATACATGATCCATTGCTATTTAACACTGTTTTAACGAAAACTAATGTCGTAGTTGTACGTCACACAAATGCATGTAAAATGATCAAAATCTACAAAACCCCAACCCGATAACATTCATCTAGTCTTCTTCATCATCGGTGACGAATTTGCCGGTTCCTGGATTCAAGGCAGCAACGAAGAAGAAAGCAACATTGAACAAGACAAGTGGTTCAATGTCGCTAATCGGGATTCCTGTCTCGATGTTTAGTTGTGCTAGAGCTCCCTTTCCTGTGATAATTTCTCCGATCAACGAGAAAGCGATACCCAATTGCGCCAATCTTCCGACAAAGAGCTCATTCGATTTTGTGAACCCGAACAATGGACCTACGAACAAGAAAATTCAAGAATTGATTCCATTAGGTAATAAATAATTTCACTTCCAATGTCCCTGTAAATTGATACCGTTAATATAATGTCATCCAATTGTTATGTGGAACACTATTATATTACTTTCGAAAAGTGCACTCCAGGAGAGAAGAAAAGTTTCAATATATATCAATGATAAATGATACAAGTTTAGCTGATGTGAGACTCCAATATGCCCCCTCCAGCGGAGGTTAGATGGACATAGTTATGTCGTGTCCCTATAGTGGTAGACTTTGACAATTGGCTCTAATACTATGTGAGAATATGTGGAACTCCATTAAATTACTTTGCAAAAGAACACTTGAGATGAGAAATGAGGTTTAACACTACAACAAAAACTGATTTTATAGGACACCTACAATGTAGAAACAACCTAATTAATACTTTGTACTTTTATAGGAATTAAGTTCATAGGACTAAACAAAAGCATCATATGATTCATATCTAAAAGTGTTACAATAGGTTTATAGAACAATGTTTTAACAAGTTTTTTATAACGCTTTTAAATTTTTTATACGACAATGTTTGAAAAAGTGTCATGTAAAAAACAGGTTTATAGGACACTTTTGATACAATAGCTAATAGGACGTTTTACGTTTTAAAAAACTTGTTAAAACGTCTAAAAACGTCTTATAAACCCATTATAACGCTTTTATAAGATGCTTTATTCTTGGTTTAAACCCAAGTTTTATAAATTACTCTATTAGGACGCTTACACAATATAGAGTCCTATAAAGCTGATTTTGTTATAATCACATAACGCGAGACTCCAACATTATACATGCAACATATAATCAAAGATGTATACCTCCTTCGCTAAGACCGAGTGCGGATCGCAGTCCTTTTCCGGGAGGAATAACGGCCTTGTCGAGTCCGGTGGGTTCATCGACAAACCGACCACGATCACCCAAAGCTCCGATGGCTCCAAGCAGAGTGAATAGAATGAAGAAGAGAAGAAGAGGCTCAGCTTCATAAATTGGAATTCCAGTTTCCAAATTGAGTTGTTGTAAAATTCCCTTCCCTGTTAATCCTTCTCCCAACAATGATGCCTGCAAAACTCGTACCATATGTTATAAAACCAACGATGGAACCTTTTAAATATCGTTAAAGAAACGGGTATTATAACGAGTTGTATACTTACGGCAAAACCGATCATAGCGACACGACCAACAAATAGCTCGTTTTGCTTCGTAAATCCAATGCCTCCCGATGTGCCAAAAATACCATCTTCAACCTTTATCTTTTCCTTTGGTGCCGCCTGAATGTTTTTTTTGTTACATATCAGTAAAGATTCAAATTTAAAAAAGTTGAAAAACGAACCATAAAGATAAAAAAAACCAGATTCAAATAATTTACGATATTTCCGTCATAGGGACGGTATGATTATACGCATCAAAGAAACATAACATATTACTAGCATTCCAATATATTAGCTATCGTGGTTGGCTCAAGGGATGAGGAGACGTTTGCTTATAAAGCTAGTTATTATCTGGTTTAAGTGGGCCCCTCATGTGTCTTGCGACCAAGTGATTCTTAGATAGCCCACTCACCCAGTCACCCTGGATTCTATGGGGATTGGGTGCCGTTTGGGACCGATTGGGATTGCTAGTACTCAACTTTTTTGTTTCTCTAAAAAAAATATAACATCTCATTTTTTCAACCATTTTTTAGGGTACCTATTGGTCTTATTTTTTGATCGAAAACTACATTCTCGATGCATTAACATTACATCATCTTAACAAACGCAACCCAATACAATCGTTTTTTCACCAAAAAACGACTCCAATAGTTCAAAGAAGTCGTAGCATACCATAAAGTATGAACCAACCAAATCAACAAAAACCGTTTTACTCGATCGTATAACGCACACTAAACAAGTACTAGTACTTAACATCAAAATCGTAAACAAAACAAAACTAACCTTCTTGGCTGGCGCTTTGGTCTTGGCTTTAAAGAGAGCAACGGGGCTCGTGTACGTTCTAGCCGGAGACGTTGAAGACGCGTTTACGAGGCTTGGAGGGAGTAAGAGATGAGAGAAAGGCTTGGGTCTAAGAGATTGAAGCAATGGGTGGCCAGAAACTACGGTGTTAGATGTCAACAACATGGTTTGAGCCATTTCTATCAATGGCAAAGCTTCCCCCTACAACTCAAAAAAGGATTTTATGTGTTGTTTTCTTGAAATATGGGATCTTGTTTTAATGGTTATTTGGTGGGATGTGTGTGTGTGTGTAGGAGATTGTGTTTTAAGGAAGAGATGAGGATAGGGTGTGGTCATTTGGTTGAAGGGCAAATAGGAGACCACGTCCCTTTGTAACTTATATTTACATTTCACTCCCTTCAACTTTTATGTTCTTTTTAAATTGTATCCTTTTGGGGTTTTTTTGTACTTTTTTTGAGTTTGTGTCTTATCGAAGACGGAAGGTCTATAATGATCTGAGTTCGATCATTCGTGTTTGGTTCGTATCTTGTGGACCATTTTTGCTTTGTTTTTCCTTTTTTGTATATGGGTAGGTGCATTGTCGATTTCATGTAAGTTTGCTATTTTTTAAATAAATATCGTGGTTAATTGTTGTTTTTTCGTGAGGTGAAGCCAACAGTCGACGTGACGGGAGGTTTTTGAATTGTTTTGTTTTTTTCGGGGTCAGTGAATTACGTTAAAAAAAATATAGTCATTAAAAGAAGGGGTGAAGGTTATCATGAATGATTCCAAAATGGTTTAAATAACATGACGTAAAAGTATATATATAATTAATAGGAAGTGGAATGTATCATGTTTGATTTTCTTGGATCCTCATCTATACTATATTATAAAACATTTGACAAAAACTTTTAAAAACTATTTTTTATGCATTAAGTACTATTTATTGATGCATATTACTTAAAATTTAATATTACAAGTAAATTGTGCATAAGTACAACTTATTAAAATTTCATGTTTGAATTCGTGTAACTAACTGCAGATAAATATAATCAAATACAGGATAAACATCTCATTTTAAATATAAAAAATCTAAAATATAATTAGAATAATCATTTAGTTTTAATAGAATCATTATCTTTAATAAAAAGTTATATTAATAAATCAAAATAAAAAATGATTTAAAGAAATACACAGAAAAGGGAAATTTTTAAATAGTTAGTTTGTTACTAATATCAATATTTTTTTCAATTTTTTATGATATCTTCACATTTTATTCAAAAATAAAAAGATTATCGCTTTCTCAAAACCACATAAAACCGTATTATAACATCGACTGAGACAAAAAAAAAACGAAACATTAAAATCGAATGTATCTTGATACATTGTACGAGTACTATTCTACTAATTTTTTATAACAACTTTTTGTTTGTTTTAAGCATGTGTTGTGGTTACATTAATGCATATAAAATGAATAGACCAGTTAACCGACTAGGAAAATTTGGCTGTGTAACTTAACATGAACCAAGTCGAAGACCAATCGATATCTAACTTCAATAAGCCCAAATAGTTTGGTTGGAATACATTCGGCCCAAATTAACCCATTACAATGAAGCCCACTCAATAATCAGTCCAAATTTCATTTCTTGGGTTGGTATTTAACCTTTTTATTTAAATCTATCATGAAATTAGTATCAATAATTATTTCTAAATGATTTTTCATTTAATATGCTTAATCACCTACTTGTTTGTTTGCACACGTGCTTGAAATGACATGAACTATAATACATTATACCCCAACCTGAAATGTACAAGATTTAAATTTCTTAAAATTGGGATGTGGTTTGCAGTTTTGAGTCATTAAATCGCGGTTCAAATTGCACCGCACCACATTCAGTTTTCCTTTTAAGGTTTTACGTTACAATTCCTAGTTTGAGTTATTTTTATTTTCGAGATTATTTATAAGTCAACTTTTATAAGATATATTTGGATTAATTACGAATGATTTCGATTGCATTATGCCTTTTTAAATTACCCATTTAGTAAGTACTGGAAGTTTTTATTTTATGGAATACAAAAGCATCATCGTTGAGTTTATTATGAAGTTGTGATTGTATAATTATTGGATTGAAATGCATTAGGTTCAAATCGTATAAACCGCACCATATTTTACAATGCAATTTTTTACGATTTAAGACATACGATATGATTTTAAAAAAATCTTCACATATACGAGATACAGTTTGACCCTAAACCACATCAAACCTTAGCGCAACACCCCTAACGTATATAATCAAAAAAAAATAGGAAAATGATACAAAATTCCAAAAATAGCAAGTTGTAAATTTATGAAGAATTGCCAAGTGTCCCAAAAGGATCCAGGGGAAGGTATATAAGGCAGGAGATCGTTCATTCTCTCTCTCTCTCGTTGAGATTCTGAAGTTGAATGTGTATGAAATTTTGTTAAAAATGGCGAAAGAGGTGCGAAATCAGAACGCAATGGGGTTTAATGATCTCCCCATGGAAACCCTACGTGACAGGGCCACTACCATGAAGAATTGTCTTGCAAGGAGTCAGGTAATCACCGATAGCATCACCGCTATTCTCGGTTCCTTCGATATCCGCCTCTCCGCCCTCGAAACCGCCATGCGTCCAACCCAGGTTTAATCACTCTTTCACTTTCTTCTATAAATTTCTTCAATCTTCTGTAACCTAGTTTCATTCATTTCATAAATTTTATGTGTGTCTAGATAAAAACGCATTCAATGAGAAGGGCACATGAGAACATCGATAAGACATTGAAGTTCGCCGATACCGTTTTAATCCAATTTGATCTTGCTAAACAGGTACTAATTATATTTCCTTAAAATTTGATGTACAACTGTATGGTCATGTAGTTTATTAGTACGATGTTAAAACATTGATTGTTATTCGATTAAGACTAATTAACATCTGTATTTTGATAGTTATCATCAATCTAGACTGAATTATGCTTAATCTATTGTAAATTTGTAGTGCGAGAGTGTAATTTTGAGAGGCCCCCATGAAGATTTGGAGAGTTATCTAGAAGCAGTTAATCAGCTGAAACGCGTCGTTCGCTTCTTTAGTTCCAATAAAAACCTCAAGAGCAGCATTGGGGTAATTACTCAGGCCACAACCTTGCTTCAAAAAGCTTCCTTGATGCTCGAAGAAGAGTTCCGGTCGCTATTATCATTATACAGGTCCGATGTCTTGCCATTATATGTATTTGTCATTTAGCTCAAATAGTTTATGAGTTGGTGTTTGTTTGTTTGTATGTATTTCAGTAAACCTGTGGAACCTGATCGTCTTTTGGACTGCCTGCCTTCTTCTCTCCGACCAGCAGCACCATCAACTGCTCATCCTCATGAAGGTGGCAGGAAACACGAGCACAATAAGAATTCAGAAACTGCTGTTTACAGCCCTCTGATTCTCGTACCACCTAGAGTTATACCATTGTTGCATGATCTAGCTCAGGAAATGTTTCAAACTGGCCAGCAACAGCAAGCATTTATTATTTACAGGTGAGATCAAGAACACCAAATGTAGGAAGCATACATGGGTTTAGAATTAGAGTAAATGTTCAATTATCGATCAATAAGCAGCATGAATCCATAAGGCTGATAGAGAATCTGGGATAAAAACTCCTGTATCTTCGCTTTTCTTGTGAAGGTTTCTTTTGTATTATTATTTATTTGTCATCAAATGTGTTAGATTTTGAATTTGTAGCATAATTGGATAGCGACCCACCATTCTTTTTCTGAATACTGCATCGATTACTCAAAATTTGACTTGTTATCTTCAGGGAAGCCCGTTCTTCGTGTATGGAGAACAGCCTTAAAAAACTTGGAGTAGAAAAGCTTGGTAAAGATGATGTCCAAAGGATGCAGTGGGAGGTTTTGGAGGCTAAAATAGGGAATTGGATTCATTTTGTGCGAATTGCTGTAAGAACTTACAAGACTACGATATACGATATATTGCTCCGTTTCCTTCCTTTTGCAGGGTTATGTGGCTTATCGTAACTGATACAGGTAAAACTGCTATATGCTGCTGAAAGGAAGGTAGCTGATGAAATTTTTGAAGGAATGGAATCTTTTATGGATCAATGTTTTGTAGAAGCAACTGCAAGCAGTGTGTCTCTGCTCCTTAGCTTTGGAGAGGCTATTGCCAAAAGCAAGAGGTCACCTGAAAAGTTATTTGTCCTTCTTGATATGTATGAGATAATGAAAGAAGTTCAACCAGAGGTAAACTAACTAGCATTCATAATGAAAACTACACACGTTTGTGTGTTTTATATGTAATTTCCTCTGATATTTGACAGTTCAATTCGATTTTCGCAAGTATATCTGGTGCTGAGATGCGAGAATCTGTTTCTGCTTTGACAAAGCGTTTAGCCGAGACAGCTCAAGAAACCTTCGTTGACTTTGAAGAAGCTGTTGAAAAAGATGCCACAAAAACCGCTGTTCTTGATGGAACTGTCCATCCTTTGACTAGTTACGTTATCAATTATGTTAAGTTCTTATTTGAGTAAGTCTGACACTTCCCGTTTCAACTTTCCCTGATGTAGTTCTCTTTCAAGTGTTGTAGAAAGTTAGAAACCATTCTTGATGAATACATTATAAAGCTCTAAGCTTTGTTTATGCTACAGTTACCAGTCGACTTTGAAGCAACTTTTTCTGGAGTTTGAAGCAATCGATCCAGATGCCCAACTGGCGAAAATAACTACACGAATAATGCAAGCTCTACAGAATAATTTGGATGGAAAATCTAAACAGTATAAAGATCAAGCTTTGACTCAAATATTTATGATGAACAATATGCACTACATTGTTAGATCTGTGCGAAGGTATCCTTACAGTCCGGCTGTTTTTCTTAAAATCTGTTTCAATTTTTCTAGCTGAATGCTGTAACGCGATGTTCTTAATTGTAGGTCCGAGGCAAAGGATATGTTAGGCGATGACTGGGTCCAAATCCACCGAAGGGTTGTGCAGCAGCATGCGAACCAGTATAAGAGAATTTCTTGGTCTAAGGTTCTATAAACTTGGGCCATGATGGCAACCATAAGCAAATTTATATTTTGAATTTATTGAAAAAGACCTGTTTGGTTAGTTATAATCTAGCTTTTTGAAAAGCTACTTCAAGTAGCGTTACAATAAGCTCTAGGGGATTTTTTGCAATTATGGATCATTTTACATTGTCATCTAGCTTATTGACTAGTTTATATTTTTTACCCAATGTGGGTGGTTTGTCAGCTAGCTTATTACTAAAACTAGCTTAGTGGGATCTTTTTGTTTCCTATGATTATTACTGTCCGTGGTTATCGATCCTAAGAGAAGCATGCTAATCGGTGCTAGTTTTGATTGTGCAGATATTACAGTGCCTCACGGTTCAGGTTGCTGGCGGTGATGGAAATAGCACCGCCGGAGTGTCAAGGGCAATGGTGAAAGAAAGGTTCAAGACATTCAATACACAGTTTGAGGACCTACATCAAAAGCAATCTCAATGGTCTGTTCCTGATAGCGAGTTGCGTGAGTCCTTGAGATTGGCTGTGGCCGAAGTCCTTTTACCTGCCTACCGATCTTTCAAAAAACGTTTTGGGTACGGTTTTATCGTTATTTTTCTTTGGTTTCTGGAGTCGGGTTCTCTTAACCTGATCCCATGTTGTAACTATGCAGACCCATGATTGAGGGCGGTAAAAATCCAACAAAATACATCCGGTTCACGCCAGAGGATCTTGAGCGAATGCTGGCAGAGTTTTTCGAAGGGAAAACAGCACACGAACAAAAGCGGTAGGAAGCGGATGATTGTTCGAAGAACGTTGTCGATAGTTTTTTTTGTTTTAGTTACGACATATAATGAACAAAATCGTTGATCGTGACCAATTTAATTCACCCAAGTATTTTTTTAGCATATGATTGAACCTTTCTTTTTTAGTGTTCGATTTAACTTGTTTTTTTTTTTTTTTTTGATTTCTGAAGATCCTATTCAACACCACACATAAATTAGAGGCAGATATATCTCATGGATGTCCCTAATCCCCTCTTCTCTTAAAGGAGGAGAGACAAAAGGGACAATCATGTTTCATCCACAAGTGGATAAAACACAATCAGTGAATCGACAATACGATCATTCACATATTCATCCACCATCACAACCACCGCCACCACCACCACCACCGTCGCCGTATCTCCCTCGTGATCATTCCAACCAATACACTGCTACTAGCCTCGTCCAACGACCACCAAACCCGACCGTCACCTGCAACCGGACTTGTGGCCGTCTCATCTTTATTCTAGCATTCACAATCATAATCGCGCTCTCCGTGGTCTTCATGATCTATTTCGTTCTCGTGGACTCCCATATCCTCGTCTTCCACGTCCGTCGTCTTGAAATGTCGGGTTTGAAAATGGATTCGTCAACCGATATCCAATGGAACACATACGTATCCGCCCGAAACCCGAACGTGCATTTGAATTTCTTGATTGAAAATGCCAACATCAACCTACTCTACAAAAACAAAGCGTTGGCCAACGCATACCATGATCAATTCCAGCTAATGAGCGAAGAATCGAAAGATATTCAGGCGGATTTCAAGGTAGCGAATTTGTCGTCAGAGGATGATCTCGTGCACGATATGATGTACGAAATCGCAAACAACATGGTTTTGCAATTCGATTTAGCGATGTCGATTCAAGCCACATTTCGCTATGAAATCATCAATAAAGATGTAACAAGATATGAAATGGAAGTTGTATGTAAAGATTTAGAACTACAGTTCCCTCCTAATTACACCACCATGGGTGGTGGTGGTGGTGTCATCCGGTCCGACGACCGCATGTCCAAAATTTGTTCTCTAGAATTGATGAAACATTCAATAGAGTGGGGGATCCAGTAATGAAGTACTATTCTTTCTCATTTTAGTCTTGTGTCTGACCATGTGAATTAAGATCAGAGTTTTATATATTTTTAAATTTATTTAATTCAAGTATAAATTAAATATATCTGTGAAGTCGTTTAAATATGTTAGATTTTGAACTGTTTCAAAATCAATCATATTCGTACATCCTAAATTCAGGGTTTTCCTTTTTTTATCTTTTTTGTATTTCAATCGTAAGATTCTTAGATTATATGCAAATTGCTTTTATATTTCAATTTGAAAATAAGTATAATAATTTTCTTAATTATTATTTTGCCGTCCACATCTAATATTTTAAATTTCTATTATTACTTAATTTTAAAATATGAAAATTTTATACTATATTATTTTTTGTTTTGGGCCATTAACTTGATCTTGGTTTTGATTGTTTGTATTTCGAATTTTAAATCTCAATCAAGGTGTTTTTTAGTGTTTGATTAATTATTTTATATAATACAATAAAATTTCACAAAAATCCATTTTATTAATTAATGAAATAATTAAGAAAATAGTTATCAGATTTACTAAATAAAAATTAATGGATTATTGGGAAATCCGTATATTTTTTTTCTCTTATCTTCGTTTTAACATGCACATATGAACAATTATATGTGCATACAATTTGAATATATTATGAACATAATTGTAAAGAAATTTAATTTCTCTTACTAGTGTGTTTGTTCACAAGGTTCATATGACACAAGTGATATTTTAGATTTGGTTGATGTTCATAAGCTCTACCATATCTTACAGATTTAGAGTGTGTTCACAAAGTATCTTAGTATTTTTAAAATAAATGTTCATAATGTGTTCACCTTGTATGTATATTCGGTTATTTGTGTATACATGTATGTTAGAGAGAGGAGAGAGAGAAAAAAAACAAGAGATGAAGAAAAGACACAAGAGAGGAGAGAGAGAATAAGAGGTTTTTAATTTATATTGTATTTTATTTTTTAACTTATAGTTTGTGGTTTAAATTGGATTTCACAAATTATAAAGTTAAAAGAAAGTCCATATATATATATATATATATATATATATATATATATATATATATATATTAAAAGGGTACTCGCACAATGCAGCGATATACATCTTGATCTTAATATTTTATTTTATTTTTTATCTCAATCAATGTTATAATATAGTCTTATGTGATTTTAAAAAAGCGATGATGTTTTTATTTTTGAATAAAATCTAAATTTGAAGATATCATAAAAATTTGACAAAATTATATCGATATTATTATCAATTTAAATATTTAAAATTCCTCATTTTTTGTGTAATTTTTTAATTCAATTTTTTAATTATAATTTAATTTGAATTTAATAACAAAGTAATTTATATTTGGTTTAGTAATATAATTTTATTATAAAGATAATAGTTAATTATTTTGTTAGAACTCGATAATTATCCTAATTATATTTTAAAATGAAATGTTTATCCTCTATTTGATTATGCTTATCCGCAGTTAGTTACACAAATTCAAACATGAAGCTTTAATAAGTTGTACTTATGCATAGTTTACTTGTAATCTTGAATTTTAAGTAATATGCATCAATATACAGTACTTTATGCATAAAAAATTGTTTTTAAGAGTTTTGTTCAGATGTTTTATAATATAGTATATATATACACACACACATAGAAAATGGTTCAAACAAGAACATTTTTGTTTTACGAAAATGCAAAAATATTTATGGGCCTCCAAATTAGTTAACACATAATAAAACATAAAATAAATGAAAATAACAATTAATTAACTCATAATAAAAAAAAATAGAATAAAAGAAAATAAATTAGTATTTATCCATGATTTATCTTTGTCCTTAAACTTTGTTTTTATCATCGAAGATTTTTTATGTTGATACCAATGTGATGGTATTGTGATAATGATTTGATAAATTGAAAATTGTTTATGATATGATTTTGATGTGATAATCATCTAATAATTATGTGATTTTTGTTGTGATATATAGTGATGTAACACCCTAAAAATTTATGATTCGTAAAATAAATAAATGTTAAGGGTTGAAATTTGAAGAGTAAACGACATACGGGATTAAAGTGTCGATACTCGAAAAACATGATTTTATTGCAATAAATAAAATCAATAAGAAAGGAAATGAAACATTTTATATTTAATTGGTTTGGGATGAAAATGAAGAAAGAAAAACAAAAGAGACTAGTTTCGTCAAAAGTAGAAAACTAATTTGGAAATGATTGAAATTTGGGAAATCATTCCCCAAATTCACGTTTTTCCTATTCTAGAGACCGTTTGACGATTTATAAATTAGATTTTTCAGCTGAAATTTTGTGGAGACGTTCCTAAGGGTGTAAGGGAGTAAACGTCTTTGGAATTTCGAGATTTCATCAAGAAACGAGAGAGATATCGAGTTTGAAGCGGCATAGGGTCATTCAGCACAAAAACGGCGATTGCAGGTAAAATACTCAACCAAAATTGATGTATAATATATGGTTGGATTCGTTTTTTAATTACCTTTCTGTTGGTACAAGTCTCGTGGGCTATGGTGGCTTGTATGTTGAGTGATTTAGGCTAGAAGCTGCTGTGGCGGCGGCTCGACGAGATTCGGATACAAAAACTCAAAATACGAGTTTAATATTGAACTGTAGGGACTGTAAATTTTGATACGAGTTGGGATTATTATTATGTATAAGATTTTGTAAAAAGTTTGGTGAAAAACGATTGGAAAAATATCTCAAACGAAAATCGTTTACGATAGCCGCACCAAGGGTGCGACCGGGTTGGGCTGGGCGTAGAGTTGAGTCGGCCGACACTAGACTAGGTTTAGGCCATGGCCGACTTATTTTGGTCGAGTTCGGTTAGACTCGAGTTGTTTTGATAAAATCGGTATTTGTTAAAAAGAGATTTGGAGCTCGTTTATTTATTTGGATTAATCGAAATAAATGGGGATGTTTCGATTAAGTTGGTCAAGATTTGGACATCAATTGTAAATGTTATTAATTAATTTGATTTTCATATTTAAATTATAAGAAATAATTTAGTAACTTATTTCGGGAGTTGTGACTAGATAATTGTGGGATCAGACGTTTTTATAACGAGAATCGTATATAATTAAATTTTGGGTTTAATACGTCATAATTTATTTTGGATATCAAAAATTCCATTGGCGAGGGGGGTATATATCGACGAGGTATGTTTGGGGTTGACTCGTTGACCATGCCCACCCTAACGTTGACCCATTTGACTTTTGGGTTGACTTTTTGGGGAAAAGTCAATACTCTAATATTGAAATACAATTACATGTTACAGGATATTACTCAGGGACAAGGTTTAGCTAAATGGAGCTATTAAGGTGAGTCTTCATGAGACTTTTACTGGGATGCATGCTTATGTACAAATTATTTGAGCATTACGATATTTTTTTTATGTACATGTTTATGGGTTTATTACATGTATATGAATTATTATTATGGGTTGCATGCTATTTGTTTACGTGTTTTTAAACATTAATTAGCATGTTATAAAAGAATTTACATTTTTGTCGGTATGGGAAGGGGTCAAAAGTCATAAGGGATGACACATCTTAGGGATGGATGACCGAACAAGGGATAGCCGTGTAACCGGGGAAGTGCCGATGACGCTATGACCTTAACCCGACGGGAAATTAAGAGATCTCATTATTATTTCAAAAGGGTTTGAAACAAATGTGCATGTTATTTTATTTGAGGTATTGTTTATTTTATGCCTGATGAGGTGTGTATGATTGTGCACAAAAACTATGAACTCACCGAGCTTTACAAAGTTGACTATTAGTATGCATCTCAGGTGCAAGAGGTTCAAGGGTGGACAAGAACGAGGTTCTCTCCTAGATAATTATATTATTATATTTCGGATGTTTAGGTTTATGCTTAAACTCATTTTGTAATGTAACCCGGTATGGGACGGGTTAGCGTTGAGTTATTACTTTTAATTGAATTTGTAAGACTTCTGTTGTAATAAGGTTTTATTAGCCACTATATTTTGGGGTTATTAAAATTTTTAAATGAGAATAACGTAACACAACTCATGGTGAAAATGAGGGTGTTACAAGTGATGTGATAATCAAAAACCAACGATGATCATGTCTACATTAGTCGACCTGTCTGTTTATTATGTGATTTTGTTGTGATAATTATTTGATATCGGTTAACGTATCATCTGTATATGATTTTAGAGATAAGAATGTCAATAAAATTACAGATAAATACGAAATTAATCACATAATTATCCTTAATTAATTACTTTATATTTTCTATTAATTTTATTTGTGGGTTAAATATTTGGAGCCTCATAAATGTTCTCGCATTCTTGTAAAATTAAAGGTGTTCTCGTTTGAATCTCTCTCTCTCTATATATATATATATACACACACACACACACACACATAGAGAGAGAGAGACTTGGGATCACGTGAGACCATTTTTTTATACTTAAAACTTCACAGCAAAATGCTATGAAAGTAACCTTAACAGTATTTTTGTTGTGAAAGTTCGATTTTTTTTACCTTCACAACATTTTGCTGTGAAGTTTCAAGAGTAAAAATGTGGTCTCACGAAAACATGTTGGTCTCACGTGAACCCAACCCTATATATATAAATCATAAACTTATTTTACTCATGAATACACATATAAGACACATGTGCATACTGTCCAGATGAAGTTACCACGATATTCCTCAATTTTTCATTATTTTATGATTTTTCCTTGAACCTACTCATATATACAGTTAACCATTAGGCCTTGGCCTAGTGGCCACCTCCTTCCGTAAATACCTTGCCTTGGGCGTGCCCACCCGGGTTCGATTCCAGGGGAGGACATGTTGTCTTTTTCGGTGCTTGCTTATGAGGTATGACAAGTAGGGTTCACAAAATGTGGACCACGGGGCCATGGCCCATGAGGTCCCCGCCATTAAACCTTTTTTTTTCTACTCATATATACAGGTGCAAGTTCATTT